TCCAAAATGGTTTGGACTGAGCCAAATGATATTCCAACACTATCAGCGAGGTCCCTCATTGTCAGTCGACGATTTTCAAGCACCAAATCTTCGATTTTTTTGGACGTGGCCCTCGTCGGTAAACGTTGATGGTCGTCCAGATCGCGGTTCGTCTTCAACGCGTTCTCGGCCCGCTTTGAACTTGTTGTACCACTTATAAACGTTTTTTTGTGCCATAGTTTGATCACCAAAGGCCTTCCGTAACATTTTCAACGTGTCCGCACAAGAATATTCGTTCCGCAAACAAAATTTGATGCAAGTTCTTTGCTCAACAAAATCACCCATTGTAAAAATCGAAAAATTCACTTTTGGTCGTTTACAAAAACACGTGTAACTCGGAGATAATTAAACCTTTTAACAAACAGACGCTTGGCAATTGTTATAGACAGTCCTACCAACCTAGGAAAAAAACAATTGCCTGCCTTCCTAATGTCCGGGAGTTTTAAATGACAATTTCACCTTACTTTTTGATCACAGTAGTATTTCTCTCCATGTGGAATCGTCCTGTGGTCGGTCGCGCCACGATTTATCGCCCGCCCTCTATAATTGAACGCGGTCTGATGCGAAAGCCACGCGGTTGGATAATTTCTCTTGATTCTTCGACGCGCACGTTCGCGACGAGGCGAGCCGAGCCGGTCGACGATTCTAAAGTACTCATTAAACGAATCCTCAGAGCTATTTACAAGCCGGGTTGAACCCCTCGGCTCAATTATACTCGGCTGGATATCCTTTTTATTTCAATTAGTCCGCTACATTTTTATGCGCGCCCGCTGCGTTTCTCCATCCCCCGGCCCCGGCCCCACCCCCGCAGGCGGGTTACACGGCGCATCAAGAACATCGCTGTCATGAAACACTCCTAATTAGCTTAATTAGTGCTCTCACATTGCCTTCAAATGCTAATGGAATCATGCCTGAGCGGCGCGGCGTTCGTCGTAACGTTACGTGGCGAAAAAAAAGAAAATGCGTGGTGTGCCGGCGGGAAAAGGACGGGGGCCGAGGAAAGGAGCGAGAAATAGCGACGGGGCGCGGGTAAAAACCGGAGGAAAAAGGCGCGTGGAATGGAAGGAGAGGAGAGGGCGAGAAAGGAGGAAGTACCGGCGGGGAAAAAGACCGCAAATTCTTTTTCAGGTCAAAGGGTTCCTTTCACGTCATCTGCCGCGCTCAAGAGCCGCTGAAAATAAAAATGACCTCGCGAAAAGTCTCTCGCTCGGCTCTCTCACGTGGGCCGGACAAGCGAGTAGGCGAGCGCAGCAGGCGTTTCTGCCACGCTACTTCATTTTCCACGGTTTTCCTTGCACGTACGCGCGCCGCGATGAAACGTGGCCGCGGGGCCTCTCTCTTCGTACCGGCTAATTCGACTCGCACCGAATTATTTCGCGCTGAATTTCTCTGCGAAATATTCAATACGCTCTGAGAAGATCGCCGCGTTAAGTACGCGAGCTTGAAATTCGCGCGGATTATTCGATCGTGATACAACGATATTTCCGAGACGAATGCGAAGGTAAGAAATGAATTCTGTACGATTCTATTTCGGAAGCTTTTGTAACGTTTTTGTAATTATTCAGCAAGTCGGTGTGACATGATTTTATTTAAAATTATATAAAGTAAATAATATAGTAATTATATGTAATATAATAAAATTATGTTATAATAGAATAGTGATATAATAAATAAAGAGTGTACTAGAATAATGAACGAAGGGTGTAGCGTGTGGATTGCATCGGAAATGGGTTTAATTAGTAAAGAATTTGTATTAGTGGGAAGAAAGGCTCCGAGAAAGCACTCTAGTTTGACCAGTTACTATTTAAACATTATTGTTGTGTTGTTTAACTCTGTAGAAAGTAGTCCTATAACTTTAGAATTTTTAAATTCTAATTTCTAATTTTAAAATTTTAATTTCTGAAACAGAATTTTATGCAACACCGATATACCGACACAGAATTTCATAGAACGCTTTTCCAAAATAGGATCATACAGAACACGACGTAAACGTAGAATTGTATTAAAATCTTTGCTATTGTAAAATTACATTCATCTACAATGGTGTGAATAATTACAGACTCGAAGTAATTTATACACTTTCAGCGATATTTAAACAAAATCTTAACGATATATCATATTCGTATATTTCTATTTTCTATTATTTCTAATATAGAAATATTCAAATACAGTTTTTCTCTTGGTTTTTGTTTAAATATCTATAAAAGTGTAAAAGTTACTTTGAGTTTATAATTACTCACAGCACTGTAGGTGGTCTTCTTTGACCGAGTCAACCTGTATATGTAAAAAGAACGTAACAAAATATCATATGTGTATATTTCTATGTTAGAAATAATAGAAAATAAAAATATACAAATATAATATTTGTATAATATAAAATTTGTATAATAACAAAATATCATATTTGTATATTTCTATATTAGAAATAATAGCAAATTGAAATATTCAAATATAATATCTGTATAATAACAAAATATCATATTTGAATATATCTATTTTCTATTATTTCTAATATAAAAATATACAAAAATATGATATTTTGTTATTATACAAATTTTATATTATACAAATATTATATTTGGATATTTCTATTTTCTATTATTTCTAATATAGAAATATACAAATATGATACTTTGTTAAGTTTTCGTTTAAATGTCGGTAACAATGTGAAGGCTACTCTCAGTCTATAAGTCTGTATAACTTTAAATAGCGTCTCATTGCGCACACTTTTTAAATAGCGTCATGCTACAAACATTTTGAAATAAAATTCTGTAGAATTAATTTTGAAATAGACTTCAATTCAAACAGCATTATATGAATACCTATAATACCTATAATTTGAATTCGATAATTGTGAGAACAATGAGCGGAGTGTTTGTTGAATGATTACTCACTGATTTCCAGGTACTTTTGATGCACCGGGTCGTATTGATCCCATGTCACGCTGCGGAAGCGGTTCTTCTCTCGGCTGGCAGGCAAAAGTGTGTCGTTTCGGTTGTGGTGATCGATCACGTTCGGATTCCTGGAAGGAAAACGTAAATCGTTATTCCAGATATCGTCGTTGATCGGCAGGGATCGTCTGAATATCGGCCGCCTGTCTCGAACATCCATTACTGTTTCGCCCCTCCCGTCGGCAATGATAGCAATCTAGATCTTTTGCGGGCGGAGATACGCGTTCGATGTCAAACTCTCATTATTGCAAGGTTTCCTTCACGTTGTACCGTGATTTAACTCGATCGGTTCGGAACCGATGATAACGCATCTGAGTGATACTTTTATATATAATATATAAAGTATATATAGTATATATATATATATACATATATAATATATGATATATACTATATTATATATACTATACATATAAGTATATACCATAAGCTTTTGAAATTTATTTTTCTTGTAACACAGGGTGGACCGGAATTTACAGTAGAATCGAGCAAGGTTAATTCTACATGAAAAAATAAGAAACAAATTTGGTACACAACGCTTTTTTATTTGGGGTTCCGATTTTTAGAAAATGGAAGTTTGTTCAGCTTTATAAAGGATTTAATTACAATTTAGTTATTAAGCCTTTGTCCTACAACCACGTCTGAGAGACGTGGTCGGATAATCGGGCCAGAAATGATTATCATATATATGACTAGTAGGCTCGTGATAGACAAGGGATATGTGTTCGTGATTTTATTTCTCGTCATTTAATTGTTTTATTAGTAGCTAAAGGAGCTGGCGCAGAAACCAGCTCGATGCGTGCTAATCTTTAATTGTTTTAACGTGCATGTGACTTACCGAGATCTACAAAACACATTTTTTGAATTTTCGCTGTAGGCTCAGATAAAAAAAAGTTAAAGAGTTTTTTATTTTCCTTTATCATTCTAAGCAACTGCAAAATTTAAAAAAAGCACTCTAATTATGGTATAACAGACTGGTCGCTCTATCGTTTAAAAAANTCTGAGAGACGTGGTCGGATAATCGGGCCAGAAATGATTATCATATATATGACTAGTAGGCTCGTGATAGACAAGGGATATGTGTTCGTGATTTTATTTCTCGTCATTTAATTGTTTTATTAGTAGCTAAAGGAGCTGGCGCAGAAACCAGCTTGACGCGTCCTGCGATTTTCGCGATCTTTAATTGTTTACAGTTCACACGAAGGTCAACCGATTTCGGTGAAATCTTACTTTTCACAGTTACCGATCGTCAACTACTTTAAAAACGAGCCAAGTTTTTCCAAAATTGGAGCTGAGGACCTTTCTTTTTCCCATAAGCCAAAATGTCGAATTGAGTATATCGCGTCAGAAGTTTTCGTTTTAGTTTTATCAACATATAACTATGCTTGAATTGTTACCTAAGTGGCTCATAATGAAATTTGTCAACCTCTTAAAGACCTTCAGTATAAATTTGTAACACACACTAATACCATTTTGAAAATAAACAACATATTTTAAGGATTCCATGGGGCCCTTATTCCATAAATCGAGGAAAAATGAGTAATTAATGCTATAAAAGTAATTTTGCTATTTACACTACATATTTTCAAAAAATCATACAGTTTATATTATTTGAGGTGTTTGAGAAAAATAGAAAATATTACATTTAACAAGTTTTACCACTTTAAATATTTAATCTGTTATTACGGTTCATTACTTTCTTTAAACATTCTGTCTAACCATTGGCAGCGTTCATCATCTAAATACATATTTATACAAGTCACGAACATCTTTTTCTTTCGCTTCTTTTACTCGTGAAAAGTCCACGGAATAAAGTTCAACGTTTTTAAGCTGTTGTACACTGTACCGATTTTTCCATAAATCGAACGTTGTGAGTGTACCAGAATATGATGCGAAGCATGCGAATTTCTTCTTTCTTACTATAACACCTCCGCTTCTAATATATTCTTCACCATTCGCGCGCGTTCTTCTCCTTTTAATTTCTTCTTTCGTAAACAGAAATTATTATTATGAAGAAATTATTAATTATTATTATAACAATTTCTTACTATTATGAAGAAATTATTAATTATTATTATAACAATTTCTTCTTATTATTAAGAATAATTGTTATTATTACGATGGCAGTTTCTGCCATTTCTCACGTTCAACTCAATTTCACTTCCTTCAGTTCACAAAATATCAACTCAAAAATTACGTACTGATAATTCAATACGTTGCAGTACACTGCTTTCACTCTAGAAACCTTCCGAACAACTAACAACAAGCAAACACCGTAATAAGAGAATTTCATCATCGCGAACTGAAACAAAAACCGGGCGTGTGAACGTTTGCCGAGCTTATACGCAACAGAGACCAAGTAAACAAAACGCACCGCAGTGGTCTCATTTGTTGGAATATTGACATAAAATTGTAGGGGAACATTTCTAAACATTTGGCAATTGTTAGACAACAAAGTTAGTTAGACAACAAAGACCAAGTGAACAAACAGCACCGCAGTGATCTCATTTGTTGGAATATTGACATAAAATTTTAGGGGAACATTTTTCAACATTTGGCAGTTGTTAGACGACAAAGTTAGTTAGGCAACAGACACCAAGTAAACAAAGAGCACTGCAATGATCTCATTAGTTGGAATATTGACATAAAATTTTAGGGCAACATTTTTAAACATTTGGCAGTTGTTAGACGACAAAGTTAGTTAGGCGACAGAGACCAAGTAAACAAAAAGCACTGCAGTGATCTCAATTGTTGGAATATTGACATAAAACTGTAGGAGAACATTTTTAAACATTTGGCAATTGTTAGACGACAAAGTTAGTCAGGCAGCAAAGACCAAGTAAACAAAAAGCACCACAGTGATCTCAATTGTCGTAATATCGACATAAAATTGTAGGAAAACATTTTTAAACATTTGACAGTTAATCAGAAACGATTTACCGAAAAGGGGCCCATAGACCTCTGGGCCCTTTTCCCAGAAAGATCCCCAATTGCATTGCTTCTCGTTGCATTTCCAGTTGCCGGAGAGATTGCCGCGACGCTCTTGGAACGTACGTCACCGCAGAACGCGAGATTACCGTGTGACCCGTGGAACAGCCGGCGAGCGATGATCTTAGGAAACACCGGTCTCAATTATGTTCCCGGGCCAAGAACCTGGCTACACCGCGGCGAAGGAAACCACGCATCAGCGGCTGGCTTGAATTAGCGCAACAAGTAGCGAATCGAAAGGGAATTAAGCCGCGAACCGCGCGGTGCACGCTTTGTTCGAGGGTTTCGAGTCCGTTCACGAACCGGCGGGGAAGAATACGTCCGCGGAATCCGGAATGTTGGGGCTGGGATTCGAGACACGGCCGCGGCATAATTCACTATCGAGAAGTTTCGTCCCCGACGCATACGGCTCCTGCATACGGTCGAGGGCCGATGTCCCGTCGCCCCTGCTCGCCGGCGACCCACCCCCATTCTGATTACTTTGTCCGGGTCGCAGGAAGTATTACATACACAGGCTGAGACATTGTTTACATCGAGCGTACACGCCCCTCGAATCCTTTGACCGCGCCGGATAACCATTCCCCGTCCTTTGTCCCCTCCGCAACCCCCGCCGTATTCGGGGGTATTTGCGGGAAAGCATTGCGATACGCGGCGAGATTACATGGTAGTCGTAAATGGTTTGGTTTTTACGAAACCACGGATTCGATGAGATTTGTTGTCACGAAGGCGATACCGAAGACCCTTTATACATCGTCGACGATCATTTCATCGGTAATCACTTCGCCGACAATAAGGACGAGGAGTCGGTTATTGTGCGGTGACCAATTGCTGCGCGTTTGGTTTGTTTTCGGGCATAATTAACTTTATATAATTAACTTTTTTATAATTATGTATGTATATTTTTTAATTATATAATTGTGTAATCTTTTTATTAAAAAATAAAATGAAGAAATAACAAAATTTAATATGTCTTATTCGAAATATAGAAAGTTAATTATGTAGTTATTTTTATTATTATTTTTATTACATATAGTATAGAGAGTAGTATAGAATGTAGTGTATAGTGTAGTGTAGTATAGTATAGTGTAGTGTAGTATAGTATAGTATAGTATAGTACAGTATAGTATAGTATAGTATAGTAAATAATATTATATTATATTGTATAGTATAGTATAGTAAATAAA